CCTCAGCCAGCTCCCTCAGCAGCCGCGGAGGGTGCAACATCTCCTTTTGATTTTAAAAGTTATCAATAAAATTTCAAAAACATTATCACACATTTTGTCTTAAATGCATGTCTGCATATACATAACATTGTCTACAACAGCACACTAATCTAGTCACAACATACAAACTACATCACCAAAACCTATTATTGTTTCTGAAATGAGAAGCATGCTTAACTTCAGAAAATTTGCAGGAATACCTTGCAAATCACTGATAATTTCTGATCCATGACTTCGATCTCTCCTTTCTGATTCTAGAGCTGACTGCAAATTGAGGAAGTCCTTCTCCAGTTTGAGTTTCGCATTCTCCAGCAGGCAGTTCTTATCTTGCAGTTCTCTATTATTAGCTTCCAGCTGCTGGATTTGCTTTGTGCTTTCTGTCTGGTTCTTCCTTAACCTGGCTGCAGTATCAGACTCTGACCGCAGCAAAGAGTTGGCTTCATCCAACTAAAGATCAATAAAAACATACTTCAGAATCAATTAAAATATAACAACTAGCATTTCTACTACAGACTACTAGGTTTTATGGATTAAAGAAATAAAAAGTAGTGTATTTTAAGATTACTTTTGAACACCAACACACGACAAGAAAGCACAGCTTATAAAACTCCATTACACATTTCAATTCCCTCCACTACTAAAAATATCTGTACTTCAAACAGCTATTGTTTTAAAATACACAAATATAAAGTTGGCATGCCTGTCTTTGTAGTTGGTTGATTTTCTCATTGGATATTTGAGAGTTCTGATTCCTCTTTTTTAAGTCTTCAAGCTGGTCTTTCAAACTGTTAACTGTAACAAAAACAATTCAACATTGTTAATCACTGCCATGAAAAAGCTTCAATTTGAACTAGAATTAATTTCTTTATCTTTTAAAAACCCACATGGAACAGAATCCTTCAAGCACGGTTCAACATACCCTCATTTTCCAAATTACGTTTCTTATCTGCTTCATGTTCTGCTTTTCTCTGATATTCGGTATTCTTATGCTGAAGAAGAGCCTTCTCTCTTTCTAGCTGTCGGACTGCAGACTCTACATTCTTCCTTGAAGTTATCTGGATATATTTAAAAAAACCCGACACCACTAATTATATACAGAATAATAGTATTCTTTAAATTATAAAAAGAGAGCTCATGTGCTCAGTTTAGTTTGTAATGGAGAAAGACAGCCTATTTGCCTGCTGCAAACACAGCGTATCAGAACACGTGGTCACATCTAACCCAGGACAACTACGGCCAAGAGATTTTACAATTTAAAGACTGTTTGATGGTTTGGATTTGACAAATTGCATAAACCCGCCTAGCAGCCACTCTAGAAGGACAGAAACATACAGGTAATGTAAAGTCTTGACATGTGCCTGGATTAGCAATACATTAAGTTGTACACACCCACTAAAGATAAGACAAATTTGTAGTAGCACTAAGGTACAAAGCTGGGCAAGCAATAGGGTCATTTTACTAACACTGAATGATGCAAAGAAAGGCTTTTCTCTTCTAGGAACACCAGTCTCACATCTTTCATTTTCAGAATTGTACATGGGATATTTACATTACACTGCCCTCCAAATTAAAAACACAGTAAAAAAATGAGCTCTGGAAAAACATGTGTAGTTGTAGTACAGAAATCATAATGAAAATATTTTAGCAGTGACAGCAATTCCATGCTTGTGGATATCAAGAAAACAAGAAAATGGTATTACTTGCTATAAATATACAGCTACTTAAAAGTAATTTGCTGTTTCCTAAGGAAAAAAGCCACACACAAATGCTGAAGTTCTAATTCAAATAATAACTAACTACAGACTTACCTCTTCATCTAGCTCTTTCACTATCTTCTCTAAACGAGTATTAGTAGACCTGAAGAAATTTGAAAAATATTTTAAAATGCTGCTGATTATACAGAAATTAGAATGTTTGAATGTGTCTTAATTAATGTATATTAATTTTATGTAAGATACTCTATTTTCAGCAGTCACATGAACCTTCAAGGACTGCGGAAATCGCTCAAACAACAGAGAGAATCTTATGGAGAGTTAAGGCAAAAAAAACCAACCCAAAACACAGTAGTCACAGGAGTAGCAACAGTTAAGCTAGCAATTTACAGTGTGGTATGCTTGCAGAGTGAAGAATCCTGAAGTGCATCAAAATGTTTTTAAGCATTCAAAAACAAAAAATGTAATAAAATGTCTTGATAAACATACCAAACATGTCAAAACAGTCTCACCTGTACTTCTGTTCTAGTTCATCTTTGGCTTGTAATTCGTTACTCAGCTGTTCTTCTAGCTTGCTTAGTTTTTTCTGAAACTGTGTAAAACATCAAAAAAGCTATCACATAAACCAAGTGTAATTCAATTAAATAACTAAAAAAGGAAAAGTGAGGAAAATTAATTCAGTATTTCACTGTTATTTTAAAACCATCACTAGAAGGTCACATCTTTACAAGGTATTAAACCTGGTGATTTTAAAGATACAGATCCATAGCAACGAAATTTGCTGCATGCTATATTAAATCTAATGATCCCTGAATTATGTGCCACAGATTGTGAGTCATAAAATTTATACAGGCAAAGAATGTGGTTACTGGCTCTTTGCTGTACTCTCTCTGTAGACAGACTTTCCACTGTAGCAGAATTTTTGAGATAGTCTTTTCTAAATAAAATCAAATAACAAAAAGGGAGGCACATGACCAAATTGGACAATATTCAGAGAACACTACTAAGCATGCTCAATGACCTCCCATAAAGAAGCTGACAAACACTTTTCCCATTTGAGAATGCTTTACTTTGCTTAGTAAAATATTTAAAAGAAATCATTACTCAAGTACCCAAATATTAATGAAATAAATTATAAATATTCTTTAATTTAAAAATAATTTAACAGTTGGACTTTATGATCTTAAAGGTCTTTACCAACCATAATGATTCTATAATAAATTTTGGATTCATCTCATGTCTTCAGGATTTCACCTACATTTACTTTTCTCCCTCCTTTTCTACACCCTAGACTTGAAATGTAAAGATCTGGTTTTTCTGAAAACACTTTGTAATTGTTACAATTCGAATATTCCAGAACAGGGATATTGAAAAGGACATCAAAACTGGAGATTCATTGCTTGAGAAAACACAAATAAAAGAAGCTGTCAGAAGTGAAGTGCAAAATTTTACCAACTGCGTTTACTATCACAGTGACATTGAATGTGATCATCACGTGAATGTGACATTACGTATTTTAAACAGCAGTAGCATTTCTTTTTAAAAGGGAAACTTTATCAATTTGTTCAGCAATGTCTAAAACTATTTGTCTATTCAGCAAAGGAAGG